ACCTCTTGCGGTCATGTGACTAAACTGTTAAATGTGGCCTTGGCGCTGGAGAGTTCTCCCTGATCTAAAGGTGTGAACAGATGTGTTCGTGTTCAGGTGCTGGATGATGATGACATCATGTCTTCGTGTCATGCAGGTCTGGGCATGCTGGCCAGCGTGTACACGGATGATGAGGAGAGAGGCATCGCGATGGGCGTGGCACTGGGAGGACTGGCTATGGGAGTCCTGAGTGAGTCACAAACTCACGCGAGACCGTTCAGTCTGCTGATTGGCCACGGCGACAGAAGTGGTGTATGAACGAGTCGCCCACCTGGAGAGTTTAGTTTCACAGCTCGCTGTTTGTCCACTCTCCCAGAATATGAAGCACACCTGGCTACAGGAAGCAGCTTAGCTCAGACTTGCAGCATACACCTGGTACCTGTGTCTGATCCAGGTTGCATCACGTTCACGCCATAAACTAACTGCTTCCCCAAAGGGTCTGGGCGCAGCTGATTGGTCCACAGCCGAGTGTCACTACTGCACAAGTGAACTGGATGTTCACTGGATGTTGATTTGTCAGGTTTACATGATGCTGTTGTTTTAGCTCTTCATATAGTTTGTGTGTTGTGTTTCAGTCGGAGCGCCTTTTGGCAGCGTGATGTACGACTTTGTGGGGAAGAGCGCCCCCTTCCTGATCCTGGCCTTCCTGGCTGTGTTCGATGGAGGTAAACCTGGAGACGAGGCTGGTCCTAATGCAGGATGATGATGATGATGATGATGATGGGTGGAGCCCCTGTGGCGTCAGCACGTTTAGCTTTTTTTTGTTGTTTTAATGCCGTCGTCATCCTGATTTACCGGAGCTTCCCTCGTGTGGCCGTTAGAGGAACTGCAGCTTTTTCAGCACATTAAATCAAACACATTAAACACAGCGTGGTGCCCTTTTCATAAAATATGATCCCATTCAAGACCAAATTGAAGTAAACAGGATGATGAGCTGCAGTTCACAAAGTTCACAAACGTCCGGCTGACGTCACGGTGACCACGGCTTTGTTTAGACCAACCAAGGTCGCCAGCATCACTCCAGATTTTGTGTGTGTGTGTTGCAGCGTTGCAGTTGTGCATCCTGCAGCCTTCAAAGATCTCTCCTGGGGTGAGTCCACTTTGAAATCCTCTCATCTGTTTATCGCGTCGAATGTCCCATTGTTCAATCGGGAAGGTTAAATGTAAATATGAGAAGCATTAAAATAATCAAACTTTAACATCTTATTATTGATTGAAATAATTCAGAGCTTCATTATCAGATGATGAGTCAGTGTGACGATGTGTTCCTCCTAACAGCGCCATCAGGAAGAAGGAATCACAGACACAGAGTAAGCTGGGAACCATTAAAAAACTGTCAAAGTTTGAGCCAAAAGTGGAGAAAATTGGGGAAAACTTCTGGAATCAGTGGGGAAAAAGTAAAAGGAGAAAACTGAACTCTTCTAGATCAACATGTTTCATGCACGTTAATCTAGATGTTCTGAAATTATAAGGAGAGTAAAAATTTTTGATCCCAAAACATTGATTCTGTTCATCTGGATGTAGCGTTACATCCAATTTCCTTATCTGGATGACTGAACATCAGAAATAAACATGTTTGACTTTTTCCTGGTTTCAGTGTCACATTTTTATTCCAAAACTGAAACAAATGAAACAAAAACTGAAATCTGACATCTGAAGATATTATACGGATCAAAAACATCTGTTTAAAGAGCCGACGGTTCTTCTGTGCCTGTTTGAATCGCAGCTGTTTTGGGTTCTCGTTGGTTCTGCATGTTGTCCAGCTTCAGCTCGTGGTTTTATGGTTTCAGAGTGTGGAGGGAACGCCGTTACTCACCCTGCTGAAGGATCCGTACATCCTCGTCAGTGCAGGTGAGGCAACTTCACCAGGTTTGTTTAGTAAAAACTGAACGTCTGCAGGTAAATCTGTCCGAGCAAATGTTCACATTAATATTTGTTTCTGCTCCACGTCTGAGCACGAAGGAGCAGCTGCAGGTGTGAAAAGTCCTGATCATGTTGTGACTCATGTAAATCTCTGTGTGCGTCTGCAGGGTCTCTGTGCTTCGCCAACATGGGCGTGGCCATCCTGGAGCCCACTCTGCCCATCTGGATGATGCAGACGATGTGCTCCCCGAAATGGCAGCTGGGTACGTTTTTCTGCTCGGTCTGTTTGTGCCGACGCTGTAACGCTTTCCCCGAGCTGCTGCCGTCACAGTTGATTCTGATGGTGGGTAACGGCTCGGGTCACTGTGCGGGTCGGCTGGGCTGCAGACGCTTTTCACTGGACGTCCAGCCCGGCTGTTCCTGCTCTGACTTCCCCACAGAAGCTCAAAAATGAGGTTTTCTGAAGGTGACCCAGGAGTCATGGAGGACCGCGCCCCTCGCCGTCATCTGAAGGCCACACCGAGCGTGCTCCTCAGTGTGTTCTGCGGTCATTGAGGCCGTTGTCCGTGAAGTCGCCCCCGGGGTGAGATGTTCTTTGACGTGGCCCTCAGAACCAGTCTGTCTTAGCTCGGTCTCTCCGTGACTTCCCTCACAGCCACTCAGCAAATATCCAGTTGAGGACTCGCTGGTTGGAGACATTAACCCTTTAAAACCGGTCAGAGCAGCACGCTCCGTTTTGCGCAACTACTTTTAAATCCCGGTAGCTCTGCAACCACGTGAGCTAGCACAATAATTTTTTTTGCATATGAAACCGGAGGAGTTGTACTTACATCTTATACCATCAGCTTGTCCTCGGTCACAGTTTCCTTCCACATATAGTTTTGCAAAAACTGCATAAAAAGCACTTGCAGCAACAAAAACATAATATTCCAGAAACAGGCTTTGCCGATCCGATCAGCTGTTTGTAACACTTCCTACGTTGGAATAGACGTCAGCGCGAACTATCGCATGTCCGCCATGACCTGCCCGAAACCGGAAGTGACGTCATTTTCGCGGGAATGTAGTTTTTTTTACCATGAGGGCCTCATGAGCCTATACTGGTGTTTTTAAAAGTTATGTTTGACTTTATGACTTTCTGTGTTGTTTCTGGGATGCTTAGGACTCATATTGCTGGAAATAGTTTATTTTGATGCATATGCTGCTTTTTTGCAAATTTGCATCATAATATTTATTTTCGTTTTTCCTGCAGTGTATAAAAATTGGTGTATTTCAAAAATAAAACTATGAAGACACTCAAAATAAATTTCCTGTGGTAGGAAACTATTTTGTGCAACTTTTTTGTATTTACAGTTTTGAGGGATAAGCCTCTTAAATTTCTCTAACTAGAAATATATGTTAAAAAACAAAAACGATTTTCAATTTTTTTGTAGTTTATTGCACTTTTTTGCAATGTATGTAATTACTATGCACTTAATGCAGACATATTATTAAAAACTGGATTATAATGGTTGTATTGATGTATAGCAACTTGAAATGCTCCCAAAAATGGCTCCACAGCATGTAAAAATATAATATAAGCTCTGGTGGACTTGGTTCTATGGTAGGTCTTAAAGGGTTAAAGGAGCTACCAGGACTTTGAGGAGCAGTTGCAGAACAAGCCTGAGGTCTTCATGACTGCACCTCATACGTTGACCCTAACAGGTGTGTGCTGTGTTGCAGGTATTGCCTTCCTCCCTGCCAGCGTGTCCTACCTGATAGGAACAAACCTGTTTGGTGTTCTGGCCAATAAGATGGGACGGTGAGTACTTCTGCATCTGACCACAGGAGAGGGTTTCTCAGGGTCAGGGGTCAGCCTCTGTCTGCAGAGACGTAAAACCTCTGCACAGGGTGAAGTATCAGACCTGGTGCTTAAACACCTTCAGACAGTGCGAGCTGACCTGGCAGAGCGTGTGTCAGCACCAATAAAACACTTTCATCATAAGAAACTTTATCCCGGCTCTGTTCAGAGGAGCGTTTCAAAGTGTTTCACAGGGATTAATGAGGCAAAGGAAAACCATATCGGAGCTGATCAGCACCTCGGAGATTAAGCTTCTCCGGTTTTTAAGCTTTACATTGATCAGAGCCTGCTGACAGATCCCTCGGTCCACACCACGTTTCCTGGGAATCTGTCCAGAGGCTAAATCAGCAGATTAGCAGATTAACTCTTCAGATCCAGTTCAGACCTGACGCTGAAGCTTTCTGGTAAACCAGCAGCTGTAAGAGGCTGATGTCTGTTTGTGTGTCTCCAGGTGGCTGTGCTCCATGCTAGGGATGTTTATCGTTGGCATCAGTCTGCTGTGTGTGAGTACGACATCATCTCTTTGTTTATCCATCTTCCTGTGATTCATCATCATCTGTCAGTCATCGATCCTTTCATCCACCCAAACACCAAACAGTAACCCATCCGTCCATCATTGGTTAATGTGGATCTGTGCAGCAGTGGGAGCAGGCGCTCCTGACGCTCCATCTGAACCCGGGGAGCCTTCCAGGAACCTGGTTTCCCAAAATAAGCTGGCATGCAGAGAAGAGCAGATTACATATTAGAGCCTCAAAGCTTCGAATGTTCCCATCGGGTGCTCTGTAAACTCTTCTTCTTCCACCGTGCTGAGCATGAGCTTTCATAGATGACGAGTCAGTTTCTACCATCCACACCTGAGCGCACTTTTACTTTATTAGCCAGGTTACCTGTGCTGATGAGGATGCTGCCCAAACTAGCCCACCCTGCAGTGTTAGCACCATCACCTCACTTTAAGAAGGTCCTGAGGTCAAATCCACCAGCTTCCTCCCACAGCCCAACGACCTCCCTGTTAGGATCATTAGTGGTTCTAAATGGATCACAGGTGTGAATGATCACCTCTGCTCTGCAATACGTAACCTGTACACCTGGAACAGGCCTGAGAACCACCTGTGATCCTGATCTAAGCAGGATATAAACTGATGTTCATGTTCTGGGAAAGCCAGCAGAAACCTCACTTCCTGTCATCCAACCAATCAGCATGATGAAAAGAGCCTTCATGTCAGGAAGCACAGCTCGCGTTAAGCGTGATGTCACTGCGATGTTCCCTGTGTGTTTCAGGTTCCCTTTGCCACCAGTATCTACGGCCTGATTGGACCAAACGGCGGTCTGGGATTCGCGATAGGTGACGTGTGAAATGTGTAACGGCATGTTG